TGCTGGTTATCATATGTGTGAAGTAGACTCTGTCTTGATGGATCTGCCCATCATCCGTCTTGAAGACTTACGGAATTTATTTTCTCAACAGATGTATTTGAATCATTTGTATTAAATCCGTCCAGATCATTCTTGCTAAGGTGATAAACAAATCCGCAACCAAATGCGTCTCCTATCACGTTCACTGAAGTCCTCAAGCGATCACTGTAAATGTGTTATGTGCACAACTTGTGGTTCCTCTAGAAACGATCACTTACAGGAACCAATCTATGGCTATGATGAGCGATATATCATTTACGGGTAAGCCAAGCGCAGTCAGCACAATCATCATTGTCACTAATCCTGCACTAGGTATTGAGGCAGCGCCGATAGATGCTAGTGTAGCAGTCACGCTAAATACTGTCATGTAAACATTGAGAGGAATGAGACCATTCGTATGAGTCGCATAGAGTTCCGTTTTTGACGAACACTTCCAAATAAGAGCTTAATTTGAGAAAGCCCCATTGCGAAATACTCTATGCTTTTTGATGTCACAAGTTTGTGCGCATAGTCCTGCGTAATTGAAATGCTGTACGTTACGATAATTTTGAGAACTTTACCTCACTGTCAACACCTGCCCTATCGATAATTCCATTCCATTGATTTGAGCAATGAAGATAGATGCGGTTGCCTCGTAAAGCGCTGTTCCGTCCTAACAAATAAGATTCATCAAGCAAATAAACATCCGCTAGTCTTGGACATTCGTCGCCGAAAATGCAGTCGATCGCCACATTAATTCTATTGATGAAAGCATGCAAAGATCTGGCACCAATTTCATGCATTAAAAATATAAGTTCTCACCATGTTCACCATCGCACCTACAGGAAGAACAAATTTCGTCACTCTGCTATCGATACCAAGTTCGTCGAGGCACCGAAACGTAACCGGTAATGATGCTGCACTGTAAGTGGGATTCCATATGAGCTTGAGTCTAACCGTTTACAAAGAATAAAGAATTTGGCGCCTTCAACATCGCGGCCTTTCACCGAACGCACGCTACTATATAGTCAAAGGGGCTAGATGTGTTCGAGACTTTTGTTGTGACATGCGAAGCTAGCCGATTACCAACT